CACACGGCGTCCACGGTCATGGCGCTCAGCGACCCTGCGCCGGGGGCGGGGCCCGGCCCCTGGAACAGCGCGGAGAACACGTGTGAACGGAAGGCCCATGAGGCTACACTGTGAAGCACCCGATGAAGTCGAGTGTTTTCAATGCAGGGCGAGCTGGGAGGGCGTGTGGCTGGGGCAGGACCCGCGGCCGCCCTTCCCCAGGAGCAGCGTTTACAGCGCAGACACGCCTGCTCACACCCTAAGGGGAGTGTCCTGCGAACCAGCCCAGGCCCGCCCTGCAGAAGGCGGGCGCTAAGGGAGCTCGGGGGCAGTGACTGAGCCCAGATACAACCCAGGGAAGCCCGGGGGTGGTTTCACAGGTAGCCAGGGCCTCCCCGTCTCACAGACGAGCTCAGCAGTTTCAGATCCTGGCCATCCCCGGGGTCTAGACTTCCCCCAAGAAGCTGTTCGATACCAGGTAGCTATAAGGCAGGTTCCTCTTTACACACGTGAAAGTAGACACAACCCATTAAAACGCGGTCTCCTTTCAAAGAAAAGTCAAAATAACAGTCATTCTGCAGTTTACTTAGAACATTTTCTGAATGTGCGACAGACTACAGAGGATCTGCCTGGGGTCGACTACACAGGAGCCTCCGTGTTACAGGCACGGGCGCTGAGGCCCGGAGTCGCGGGGTGAACAGCTAGCTCGTGGTAGATTGGACCAGAACCCCAGCATATCGGGTCTTACAACTTCGACCTTCCCTGCTCTAGTTCTGAAGCGTTTAAAGAAACGGTAAGCACCACAAAGAGAAGACAAACCCACCAGCATGGAGGTTAATGTTCCAAATGACCTGTCCTGCTTAGCCTTCGGCCTCCTCTTACAATGACGACACGGCCTCTCCTCAGGAGAGGGAAGCTGACACTTCCCCTGCCTCCTCCATCACGACCAGGACAAAAGCAGAGGTGACACAGCCCACACCGCCTGCATCAGTGTCCGGCCAGTGTGAGGCACCACCTGTAACCTCAGAGCACAACCTTATTCTGTGATGAACTGACGAATAAAGCTACACACACACGGCACACACAGCGCCTCGCTGTTCCCTGTGCAGCGAGGGGACGAGACCACGTGCGCAGAGTGGGGAGTGACTGCGTGAGCCAGGGCGTCTCCGCACAGTGACAGGATACGGGTGACCTGGGATACGCTGCACCAAGCACATCTATTCAGAGTTTATTGAGTTTACATACAGTATATAGCCTGAGGTTCAAGTGCTTCAAAAATACTAACAGCAAAACACTACTGTTCCGGTCATTCAGTCTTCACTTCTCTAGACAGCCCCTCAGCCGGGAGGCACAGCCGCCGCTCAGTGGTAACGCCCCACCTCCCAGGGGACTGAAAGGCCTTCGGTAAGTTTATCGCTTGCTGCGGTTCCATTGGTGAGCAGCATCATATAAGCCCAGATGCATAACTTGATAGTAAGACATCGTCTACTCTCCTGCGTGCTCCGCCTGCAGCCCGGGCCCCTCGCCACAGGCCCTGGACCCCTGCCTCTCTGTCCTCCCCAACCCCTCCCCTCTGGTGACCACCCTTCTCTCTGTGTCTGCTCGCTGCTTGTGTTGTTTCTAGTTGTTGCTTGTTTGACATCCACGTGAGTAAAACCATAGGTTCTTGTCTTTTTCCATCTGACACATTTCACTTCGCATGATACTCTCAAGATCCACAAAATGGATCAAAGACTAAACTATAAGACCTGAAACAATAAAATACATAGAAAAAACATAGGCACTAAACCTATGGACCTTGGTCTGAGAGAGGCTTTTGTGAACCTGACCCCAGAGGCAAGGGAAGTAAAAGGAAATAAAATGAATGGGACTAGTTCAAACTAAAAAGCATCCGCACAGCAAAAAACAAAAAACATCAACAAAACAAAAAGCCAACCCACCAAGGGTAGGAGATATTAACAAACAAGTCCAATAAGGGCTAATGCCCAAACTACATCAAGAGCTCAGACAACTCAGTGACAACCGTGAAATCCGGTCACTGGCCGAGGACTAAATAGATACTTCTCCAAGGAAGACACGCAGATGGCCAGCGGACACATGAAAGCACGCCGACACCACTAGTCACGAGGGAAACGCACAGGAAAGCAGAGACCCCGCCACGTGTTGGAACGCTGTTGGCAGTAAGGGAGAAGAGGAAGGTGCTGGGAGGACGAGGAGCAAAGGACCCTCCCACTGCGGGGGTGGGGGGGGTGGGAGGGGGAACAGCACGGAGGCTCCTCAAAGAAGGAAGAGCAGAGCTGCCACCTGGCCCAGCACCCCCCCCTGGGCATCTACCTGAAACAGCTGAATACACTGATTTTTAAAGTTCTATGTGCCCCTCTGTTCACTGCAGCATTAGAGACTTTCCTTTCTCTAGTGTATGTTTTTTGCTTCTTTGGTGAAAATTAGTTGCCCTGTAACTCCCTCAAAGCTCTAGTCTGACGCAGTTATCTGTCAGCCGAGCGTTATCGGGAGCGAGGCGAGCTGTCAATGAATGAAACGGCACAGCGCGCTTCGAGAATCAAGGAGGAGGAGGCATCACTGCAGGTCTTTCCTATCAGGCTCACAGGTAATAAAATTAGTTTGGTGCCCAATGAATCTCATAAAAGGAAGGAGGAAGAGAACAAACGTGATAAGGAAAAAGCAAACGCAATGACTTATCAGGTAAACACTCAATAAGAAACTGACTCGGTTACTGGGACACAGAATGGCAACACTTAAAGTTTATCGTGCGTGCTTACTTGAAAATCGCCTGTTATAAGTCAAGAACAGATAATTTCAGCACACATCACAATTTCTTTTTAAAAACCTTTCTAACACGAAAAATTGAATGCAAAGGATGTTAGTGTGTTTAAACTGTTAAGTATAAATGTCAAAGGGCACACAAACTGAGGTTTCTCCAGGCCAAAGTCACGTTAACAGAACAGACTGGAATTGCCTGGATGAGCACTAGAGCGTCAGCGTGTAAGAGTTAGGGCCACACTGACACAGCCCGGGTGAAGGCGGGAGGCAGCGGAGAGCGGCTTAGCCAGGGGGGTGCGTGCAGAGGCTGCGAGCAGCTGGTCAGTGAGAGGCCCCGGCGGGCGGCCGAGCGGGCGAGCGCACAGCCCAGCAGGGAGGCGCCAGGTCGCGTCTGCGGGCTAAGGAGAAGGAAGATGTCACTGAAAGTGCCGGTACCTGTCTCTGCGTGTTAAGCCCACAGTCACACGGCTTCAAGGAAGGAATAAAACAGAATGAAGGACACGAGTGTAAGCAAAACATCGGATACAAGTATATATAATATAATAAACACAGGCAGCACCCTGTCCTCCCCCATCACTCTCACAACCCTCCTCTACGCAGCACCAGCGAGGAGCACCCACCCCCACCCACACCCCCACCCACACCAGCAGCTCCGTTTCATTAACACGGTGTGGCAGCTTTTAAATTGCACTCTCATTAGAATTTATATTCTATGAAAAGAAGAAATCATTGGCCACACATTCAACATAAAAACCAGGTAAATCCAATTTGTTATGAAAAGTCAATAATCCTACTACCTCCAAGTTTAAAGTTAATTGTTAAATATTCTGATTAAAAAATGCAATGATTTATTGCAGACCAATTTAACAAGATCTAAATACTTGGAATTCACATGATCACGTCATAAAATGAAATATTCTCTAGCTACACTATAGTTAATGTTCAAAACCATACTTTTCAAATTTGTGTTTTGTTTCATTAGGCATGAAGCACATATATGCACTAAAAAAATACCATTTAAAAAGAAAGGCCTTAATAGCCTCGCAGCTCAGGCAATCACCATCGGAGGGTGAAAACCCTGCAAACTATGATTAGCATAACTATTCTGGTGATGGAGAGGTTTTTGCTATGTTGTTGTTTTCTTAAAATATGTTTTTATTGATTTGCGAGAGAAACATCGGTGAGAGAGGAACATCAACTGGCTGCCTCCTGCACGCCCCCTACTGGGGATCGAGCCCACAGCCTGGGCATGTGCCCTGACCAGGAAACAAACCTGTGGCCTCTGGTGCACTGGACAATGCTCAACTCACTGAGCCACACCGGCCATGGCAATGATGGAGGTTTGAAAACTCTCATTCAAATCAGACACACTGCCATGAGCTATTTTTCTGTACTGATGACGTTGATGGTCAAGGTTCTTAAATGGTCACAATAATCCAGAGCTGACAGCCCTGACTCCCAGGTGATGGCACCAGGCGCAGCGAAGTCTCCCTCTCACGTCTTGTTTTTAGCTTAGCATCGACCTTATGATCAGGAGGCTCTTTACAAAGTGACTACGTGTATCTGTGGAGACTAGAAAAACTACCAAAAGCGGTGCTGAGGGAATAAGTTTACCACAAAGACCCAAAACCGAAGAAAGCTATTGTTAGCTCCCCTGGCTGGAAAATGTCACTTCCTCTCGCACAGTGAGAAACAATAATTAGGTCAGAGTGACAGACGGGCTCAGCACCGCATTTTAAGGACAATGTTTTAAAAAGAGAGTAATGAACACCTGCCATGAGTGTGACTTTGTTATTTTTTACTTTAACTGCGCTCTAACATCTCCACATGTCACTATCTCAGTCACGTCAGCCGAGGCGCTGTGCCCGCCTTACCCACGGCATCTGCGACTGTCCCGTCCAAGGCTGCGCCTGGCAATGAAAGACAACTTCATTGGGACATGATTCGCTCGACACGTCGCCAGGTCTAAGCCAGTGGTGGAAACAAAGCCGTCTACGGCTGAGCCCCATCTTTTTTCCTTTTCACCTGGGCACTGATGGGACTGTTCATGACCCTTTATTAACGAAGGGATGCACTGGCCGTTCGGAGTTCCTCACGCCCACACTGTGCTGTCCCTCAAGCTGACCGGTTACCCCACGCCTCGCAACGAGGTGGAGGGGTGGCCCCGAGGAAGCTGGCGGAGGCTGGCAGAGGGACTTGTGGCCCTGAGAGCCGCTCCCTGCGGCCTCCACCCCGGCTCAGAGCTGCTCACTGCCCCGAGAGGGCCTGGCAGGGGCCCGGCCGCAGTGCACGCGATGCCGAAGCGAGGAGGAGGAGGACGGGCAGGGTCTAGAAATGCTGTCAGCCTTCCCGTGGGAAAGGCTGCTCCGGGAGACCCAGCTGCCCCCAAAGCAGAGACTTGAGTTAAACCGACCACAGTCCTCGCACAGCAGCCCTGACACCCCAACACGTGCCCGAGGAGCCCCGGGGGAGGCAGAGCCACGGAGGCCACCCCCCCGGCGGGCGGGGCTGACCGGGAGCACCGAGAAGAGCCCGGGAAGCTCGCACGTGTTCAAGCCCGGGGAGCACACAGATGCCACGGAGCCTCCAGCCCAGGGGTGGGCCAACTTTCTGACTCGAGGGCCACAATGGGTTCTTAAACTGGACCGGAGGCCGGAACAAAAGCATGGATGGAGTGTTTGTGTGAACTAATATAAATTCAAAGTAAACATCATTACATAAAAGGGTACGGTCTTTTTTTTTTTTTAGTTTTATTCATTTCAAACGGGCCGGATCCAGCCCGCGGGCCGTAGTTTGCCCACGGCTGCTCTAAGGAGACAGCGCCCGACACCTCTGCGGCCAGAGATCAACAGACACAGGCCGAGCCCACTGCGCGGGCAGAGCCAGGGTTTAACCAGGGGCTTTAGTGCCCGAGTCTTGAACGCTCCAGCAGAGCATTCGCTGTGGGCGGAATAAAGCGCCCGAGGCTGCGCGATGCTCACAGGGGGCCCGGGAGGCAGGTGTGCGTGGCCCAGACGAGGAGGCCGAGCATCTGAGAGGCTGATGGTCTGTCCTGCGCTCCCCGGCAGGGCCTGTTCCATTACAGACCTGACCACGGCGGACAGGCCCAGAGCAGCAGGAGCAGCGAAGGCAGCTGGCATGGGGGCCGGGCCGCGTGGACTCCCCTCCCCCGGGCGCTCCCCGCCTGCATTGCTGGGGTGAGCCTCACAGAGTCCCGGGTGGTCCTCGGACCGCGGGGCAGAACTGGCCGTGGGCACGAGTTCCGAGGACCCGCGAGAGGAAAGGCGGGTCCCGGGGGCCAGGCTCCTAGCTTCCCTGGTTTTATAAACTGGAGTCTGGTTTTTAATGAAGGTCTCAGGCCTAAAGGGCTCCTCTGCTTCCGCGGGGGGAGAAACGGGCCCTCCCAGCTGCGACCCGGGTGTCTTGGTCCAGGGTTACTTCCCGGCCGTCAGATCCGGCGGATGTTTGCTCTCCTATGAAAGTGGGGGAGCTAGCACGGAGGCCTGTACGTACACCCCACCGCTGGCCTGTCTGCAGTTCACCTGACAAGTCCGTGGTGGCCTCACAAGATACGCCCACGACCGTGACCCTGGCTGAGAACCACGGTCCTCCTGAGGGCCTGCTCGTCAGCTCATGAGCTCGTCAGGTGGCGGGTCGCCTCGTGGGCCCTCTGCTGCACAGGCTGTGGCTGGCTAGCTCCTGACAGTCTGCTCTCCTGGTGTCTGTTTTAAACTCATCGCTCTGTGTCTGTAATGACAATCTGTCAAAAACTGGTGGCACTCCTGACGCATCCACCAGCAGCTCTCGTCACCCAGTGCTCCGCTTGAGGGACAGCTGAGCGAGCAGAGGGGCTCCATCAGAGGCACAGGGTCCCCCCAGGACCAGCAGCCCCGGGGCCACCAGGCTAAACCTCTCAGGTCCGCTGCATCTGCACTGGCTCAGCGGTGCCGGCTGACAGTCCGCAGATGGCTGCCCCCCGCCCCATTTCCACCACTGCTTTTAGGTTGGCTTTGAATGAGTGTTTACTGCGACTAGGCTACAAAACACATTCTACAGCTACTGTCATTGTTAATGTCTTAAAAGCAAAGAAGCTCGGTGAGTATCGGTTATTCACTAAGCGGGTCACAAAGTGACCTTTCACATGAGGAGAGCAGCAGACAGCGGGTATCACTGCACACAGGCCCCGCCGCTGGGACGCCCGGCCCTGTCCCGGGCTCCTTTCTGGACGAGCTCAGGAACTTCCCCGGAGCTCAGCGCACTCGCTGCCGCCTCCCCGGCCCTGAGGACCTGCAGGCACTGATCCGCCTCTGTGCCCATCGTCAGCTCGGGACAGCTGTGTCCGCAGGGCTGCACGGCCACCGAAGGCCTGTGTCTGACTTCCATCGGGTCGGGGAGGGCTTTGCCCAGAGAACGGCCCTGCGTGCGTGGTCCTCGCACTGAAGGCCCTGGCGGAACTGACAGCCATTCTTGCAACGTGCAGTGACCACGGCCACAGGCCCCTCCAGCACCAGGTGGATGATGATGGCTCCTGTGCCTGTCACTCCTGGGTAACTGAAGTCACGCAGACCCTTCAGCTAAATGTCAATGATTTTAAAAGAATCATCAACCCCTCAATGAAAACACCAAAGTGGTTCCCTTTCTCTCTCTCACTAACGTTAACTCAAAAGTAAAGTAAAAAGCTACTGTCTTCCCAAATGCATGTTTCAAGTTGAAACACTATGGATGAGCTCGGATGGTACTTGATCCCAGTAAGTCCGGCGCTATGGACCGTTCAGGCAGCCTTAGGCTAACGGGATCTTCTCTACATGGCACACCGTTCTGTACATAAATCGAAGTGAAGGCAGAGTCTAAGGCTCATACAGTATACATGTTTTTATAAGTATGAGGCCTTGAATGATAAAGACACAAAGCGACTTCCAGTCATTTGTTTGCCTGTGTTGGTTTGGAGCTCTGTAATGGGGGGCGGGTACCCCAGGCTGAGCAGCTCTGTGGGCGTCTGGAAGCTGCTCTGACAAGTACCGGTTAAGAGCAGGGCTCCGCGTACACGAGGCTCCCACAGTGCGGACACCCAGGCGGGAGTGAGCCACAAAGACACGCCTGGCCTTCGCCCTCTCGCTCCGCATGGCTTTCTGCAGCCTCGGGGGGATGTGGACTATTTTCAAAAATATTCTCCATGTGGAAGCTCAGAGCCAGCAGAGGGAACGGAGCTCCACCCCGGAGGCCCCTTCCTCCCACCGTCACTAACCCTCCCGGCTCGGCCAGGGGAGCGGGGACACGGCACAGCGGCTGCTCAGTCACTCCACGCGCACGGTCATTAGCAGCAGCTGCTGCCACACGCGGGTGCTGTTAGTGCCGCGGCCGAGCGAGGCGGTGCTACGCCACACACACGCATTACCCTCGGGGGGGCGGTGGGCGAGGCAAGCCCCTCCGCAGCGTCCTCCTTGATAACCTCCTGGCAACACAGAACAGAGCGTGTGAGGGGCAAACTGGGAGATGAACGAACGTGGCGTTAAAACCACAAAACACCGAGACCTGGAGGGGACCCGATGTTTCCTTCAGTGACGACATTTCACATTTACATAGAAGGTCAAGTCCTACATCTTTTGCCTCCCAGTTTATAACAATATACTCACAGGGACTTCCTTTTTTAAATTATTTAAATTATTTAACAAACTTTATCATCAGGAACACCTAATATGTTAGCCATAAATATACAGCTTTGGATTAGATTCAAAAGTAACCACATTTGAATAATTTCCTTATCCTACTTCATTCCTGCATTAGCTCACCACGTTCTCTCCATATGTCACCTGATTTTTATACAAAAGGGCTGACATATACACAGACACCACACGTGCCTGTCCTTTAAACAGACATTAGCAATCAGCAGAAGTAAAGGCCTTGTGTTGCGTTTGGTGACAAACGCTGCATTCTAAGCGGACACGCTGGCTGCCAGCATCTCAGCATTTACCCACGAGGCTGCCGGTCGGCCCTTCCACAGTCAACAGAATGAAAACAAATGCATTTTACGTTAGTAATAGCTTACGTTTCCTAAACTATTCACAAAACAAGTTCATTCTCTTTCTACAGAAAGGAAATAACCCACCTCTAATGTTCTAGATGGTTCTCATTAGATTGATACTGTAGTTACCCCTTTATACTTACTAGGCCATTGCTCTGATCTCTGGACAAATTCGATTTTACTGTTGGACGTGAGATGAGATGTTGGGAGCCGCCAGGGTAATACCGTGGCGTGTAAAGGTATGGGGCAAAGAATGGCTATGGAAAAACATGTAACAAAAGAGCGGGATAAACAATCACGGAAATCAAAGGTAATGAGACTTATCAAATGAAACTAAACAATAACATACAGACTTTAATGCAAGTGACAAAACAAAAGAAAAAAGCCTTTCTCATATTCTGTCAGATACCAAACCCCAAACTTGACATATCACTTAAATTGTTACACTGTTGATTTACTAAAAGCTTTTTTTTTAAGCAACTAAAGTTTTATACCTTATAATTTGACACACAAGTTTCTCTTTATATTAATAATTTTATGGGCTAATTACCAAGTGTCTGGTTCTAAATGATTTATAAGTATTAACACAATCTCTTATAAAAAAGCAGAATGGAACCTTAATAGAAAACTATTCTTTACCAAAAAAAAAAAAAAGGTTAGCCTTAAGTAAGACCAAAATAGTCTGGACGATGTGAAAACAGCCTCCGTGGCCCCCAGGAATACCTGCTAGCCCAAGTTCCTGGGGTTTCGCTAGCTCTACGTAAGCAGGCGTATCTTCAATGGGGAAGCCATTGTTCAGGCGAGTTGTAGCTACAGCTTTTATTTGTAACAAGTTTCTTGTTAACAGGAGCTGTCAGATTCTATGGGCTAAAGGCAAAGATTAGAGTTCTCCAAGCTTCATACACTAAAATAACCGTTTTCACTCCTACCATTATTCTGCTTTTACTTTCTGATTAAAAACCTCAAATAACTAGAAAAAAAAGTAACTAAAACCATGAGAGAATTTTAAATGTTTTAAAAGTAATAAAATGTTATTAAAGTATCACATGATTGTTATTCACATGAAATCAGTGAACATGAGGTCTCAGCCTAAATGGTTTGGTAATTTTTTAAAAAATAGCTTCATGGTCTCAAAGTTCAAGTGTCCTCTCCTGACCCACGGAGCCGTTTAATCCCATCTCAGCAGCTTTGGGGCCTGGGAAGTAACCCGGCACCGCATGCCGAGCGCGCCGCGGAAGCGTGCGGCCGGCACCCCTGGTCCAGGCGAACAGCGGCCCGCGTTCCGAGCACCGAGGGTGTGCGGCTAACGATTCACGTGGCCAACGCTTTTAACCAACAGAAAATGTAACTGGAATTCTGGCTCTAACCCCTCTCCCTGGCTCACGTGGACTTCGTGTGCCATGCACTTGGCTTCGGGAGACTAGCCCGTGTTTTCTTGCCTTAGACTGAAGAGGGAGACGACAGACCTGAACTGGGCAGGGTCCGGACCCGGGCACTCGACGGTGCTCCCATCTCTCCCAGCAGGACTCACGTGCTCCCACTGAGCCGCAGTCACGTGCCGAGGCGACGTGAACCAGACGGGAATGGCTGTGGCGCCGTTACGCGACCACGTCACCTGAGCCCCACGCCGTGTTTCCCATCAGCGTCTCCATGTAACAGCTGCACCACATGCTGAGTACAGGGTTCCTGAGCTCCTGCAGAAACTGCTGTTTACCTTGTTCCAACGCCCACGTGAATGACACGCAAAATGCGAAAGTCCACAGGGCAGGCCCTGCAGCAGCCTCAGGGCTCGCTCTCCTTCGAGGCTGGGAAAGCGAAGAGCCAAGAGCGCCCCAACACTCAGACTCAACTGACACTGAGACCCATTAAAGTGCAACCTTCTTCTAAGTTTAAAACAGCGTATATGTTACATTTAAACTTAACTTTTCCCCAATTTTAAAGCTAAAGTACAGTTTCAAAACAATCACAGAACCCTCAGCAGAGAACTTCTGCTGTTTCCCGGCCCAGCTCCGAGACCAGACTCGCCTCCTGCTCACCCTGTTGTAGAAGGGGTGCTGGGGCCCCGTCATCCCGCTGTAGTAGCTGCTGTGCGGCTGTGGGGACACCACCCCCCCTGCGAAGGGGCCGTTGAAGGAGGTGGACGAGGAGCAGACGGACGGGGCCTGGCTGTAGCCGGACGCGGGCCTGGGGGCAGCTTCGTGTAAGGGCAGCGGGGGATACGCCAGGCCTCCGATGTTAATCTGCTCTCTGGCGGCACGGACATCTGAAAGGTGAAGGGGTCCCGAAGGAAGAGAAAGTGGGACATTAGTTGTCAGAGCAGCTCGCACCTGCTCCTTCATCGGCTCAGTGGATAGAGTGTCGGCCTGCGGACCGAAGGGTCCCGGGTTCGATTCCGGGCAAGAGCACGTACCTTGGTTGCAGGCTCTTCCCCAGCCTGGGCCCCGGTCAGGGCTCGTACAAGAGGCAACCAATCCATGTGTCTCTCACATGATGTTTCTCTCTGTCCCCCTCTCTCCCACTCTCCCTACAAACATCCTGGGGTGAGGGTTAAAAAAGGAAGGAAGCGGGTTCCGCCTGCGCGGGGGAGGCAGACACTCTGGGAGCTCAGCCCGCGAGAGGAGCCCCGCGCCCCCGCACGCAGCTTCTTGCTCCACCCGACCTCTCTCGCGAGTCACCAGGACACATTTCCTCTGCCTCGCCCAGCTGCTGGCTGTGCTGCCCTGGCATCCTTACGGCTCAGCGTGGGCACGGACGCCCTCACCCTCGCCCAGGGACTGGGCACAGGGCCAGCAGAGACCGCTGGGAAGCGCACGGCGTGCCCACCTTGAACAACACGGCCCTCCGCCCCAGAGCAGAACGTGGGGGCCCGGGCTCTCTCCCCACCATTCCTGGAAACTCGGGCGGGGCCGCGAGGGTCCGGTCATACGAAGGCCGTGCGTTTCCGAGGCTGTGTCTGCGCCTCTGTGCACAGTGGTGCCTCAGGACGACTTAAATCCTCCCCACAACTTGTCACTGCGGCCCCCCCCCCCCCCCCCCGCCCCCCCCCCGGCCCCGGGC